TTCTGGGGGGGGACACCCCGGTTTCCCTGAGAGCCCACCACCCCCAGGCTCCACTCCACGTCATCGCCATGGCTCACGCAGCCCAGCGCTTAGGAAAGTGTGGTGTGCACACTGCCTGCATCGACTCACCCAGGGTGCTTGGTACAAGGCACACTCGTGTCTTCTGTCCCCCAACCCACGGGAATCAGGAGGGACACGGCCACTGGCCGAGGGATCTGTATTTTCAATCATACATCCGCTGGTGTGCTAAAAGTTTTTGAACAGCCGACCCGGATGACAGGGCCTCGACTTGAACCTCTGCAAGCCCCAAATTGGATATGAAGGTTTTCCAAGGTAGTGCTGAAGGGGGAGCAGACGTCAGGATCAAACACTAGTGTAGACGACCAGGGCAGCTCATGGCTCTCCTCTTCTGAATTCCTTTAAAAATACAAAATAGGGGGGGCGCCTGGGTGGCTTAGTCGGTTAAGCGTCCGACTTTCCGACTTTCGATTAGGTCATGATCTCGCGGTTCGTGGGTTCGAGCCCCGCGTCGGGCTCTGTGCTGACTGCCGGCTCAGAGCCTGGAGCCTGTTTCAGTCTGTGACTCCCTCTCTCTCTGACCCTCCCCTGCTCACGCTGTCTCTCTCTCCTATAAATAAATAAAACATTTAAAAAAAATAAAATAAAAATACAAAATAGGGCACCCAGGGGGCTCAGTGGGTTAAGCGACCGATTCTTGGTTTCAGCTCAGGTTATGATCTCAGGGTTCGTGGGTTCGAGCCCCGCGTCGGGCTCTGTGCTGACAGGGTGGAGCCTGCTTGGGATTCTCTCTCTTTGTCCCTCCCCTCGCCTCTCATGCTCTTTCTCTCTCTCAAAATAAGTAAATACACTTTAAAACCCCCAAAACAGATACAACCGGCTTGTTGCTACCAATGGCTAGGTAAGGCGTCTGTTGGCAGTGTTCAAGAAGGACAAAATGAAACTCCAGCAGAGGGTCAGGATGCAAGTTTGCGAATAGGCCCTAACTTGGAACAGCACCCGGAGGGGGTGCCAGAGAGGGGCCGGGCTCTGCTTCCTCCAGTGATGCGCTCTCCCTGGACAACCTCCTCCCTCCCTGGCCAGGCAGGCTGTGCATAGATGCGCAGTGTCGCCATCCTGCGCCATTTCGACCCCACACTGGGGACTTTTCCCTGGCCGCCGTGGCGTCCTGACGGAAGGTGCCCAAAGTGACCAGCTCCATGCTGGGGACCCTCAGGCCGCATCTCTTGGAGCCAGCCTCGTTGCGGCCGGCTCCCTTCCTCCCCGAAGTCTGGCCATTTGGGTCCTGTGCAATTCCGGAATCTCCCCAGTCCCCAAGTGGGACCTTTCTGCCAAGTTAACTTTGGCAAACTCCGGTAACGCTGACAGGCAAGAAATATTGTGGGCCATGCTGGGTTCTCTTTGGTCTATGATTTATTGATGGAGAGTATGAAATTTTCATTAAAACAGACTGCCGTTCCTCACTCATTTGTCACATTTTTAATTTATATTTTAAAACATTAATAAAACCGACACGATTAATTATTTTTTTTGAAATGTCAAATATATTTAAGATGTGGGACGGGTTAGGCCTGGGCTTGCCATGAGCAGCACAGGGAGAACACAGTTCAAGAAAGCAGTGCTCTGGGTAACCAAGTCCTTTTCCCTTCCGGACCCACGGTCAGCTCAGTGGTCTCTGGTCTCTTCCTGGATGTCACTGCTTATAAGGTACTTCTGTTTTCTTTACCATGAGGTGTCATTTGGTATCACCTGGGGCGTCCTGGCTTCTGTCTACGATCCCGGCATTATTAATAACGTCCCTTTCACACCTCTGCTTTCGTGACAAATTGTACAGTGTTCTGAGTCCGAGGCTGAAGGGCCTTTGGACTAGACATACGCGATCCAATTTCTTGGAAGCTACCTGCCCTTTCTCTGGCCTGTTTCCTCATTTGCAAAGCGGAAATAATATTAGCAACATCATGATATCGTCACAAGTTTAGATGAGATAGTATAGCATGCCCAGTGCAGTGCCTGGCATACAACAAGTGATTAACTGATGACGGCTGCCATCAAATTTGTGGTCACTGTCATCAGTAGACCCCGTGGGGGGCTGGCCCAGGCTCAGCTCCCACCTCACTGAGCCCTGCTCTCCCCTTGTGGCCTTTTCTGAGTCCTTCATCCATTGCCCGCCTTGGAGATGTGATTAAAAGAGGAATAATCGCTGAGATTTTTTTCGAAGCACCTGCCATGTGCCAAGACTTGTCCCTGTCGTGTCTCTTCAAGACTCGTAACAGAACAATGCGTTCAATGCAATTATTACCACCCCCATCTTACAGATGAGCAAACTGAGGCTGAGGTGTAATAAGACCGGGACTGCTGTGGACGTAATTGGGCCCAGGAGCTCCCGCCCCTGACAGGGTACGTTCTACTTCTCCCAGCGAGATGAAGAGCCTGGGAGCGGCGTTGCTGCACGAGACTTGCTTTCCCGGAACGTCTGCCCCTGTGGGTGCAGCGTCTCCACCTTGACAGGCTCCCGCACCCTCACCCCCAGTCCCTTCTCGGAGGGACGTGGTTCCCGCACCCTCACCCCCAGTCCCTTCTCGGAGGGATGTGATTCTCGAAGCTCGTGTGTTCCAGACCTCACCTTGGAATTCCAGACGGTTTTGGCCAGAAGGATCCTAAGCAAAAGTGGCCCAGGGATTCGCAAACGTCTGTTCACTCCCGCATTCAAGGTGGATTTTATCTGCAGAGGTGACACCTGCCCAAGGTGACACCCAGATTGTGAGCAAAACCTCCAAACAGAGAGAAAGAATGGAAGTAACCATAAGAAGAATTACAACTCGCAGATATGATACTTTAATAACCAATGTATCTATTTTTCCAGGCATTAAAGTTACTTGTTAAATATTTACTGAGCTCTTTCTTATATTCCAGGTACTTGGCTGGGAACTGAGGATATAGTGATGACCTAATTTTTCTTTTTGCAGTCCCAACGATATATCCTATCAATGATGTAATTTAAACATAACACCAATTCTATTAAAATTATACATGTATATACCCACTCGCAGTGGAATATGTAAAACAGAGAACACAACACCCACACGAGTTTTGTCTGGGTTTATGCCATCACGGGGACCCACATCCCATAGCTGGGGGTGTGTGTGCGATGAGATGTCCCTGTCCTGTCTTGGATCCGTGCCCACTGGGTGGCCTCCCAGAAAAAAATGGACTTTCCAGTTCTTCAGATTCTTCTCCAGAGCAAATATGTTTACGTATTCTACCCTTCCCCTTTTCCCTTTCCTTTCCTTTCCTTTCCTTTCCTTTCCTTTCCTTTCCTTTCCTTTCCTTTCCTTTCCTTTCCTTTCCTTTCCTGTCTTCTCTTCTCTTTTCTACAAATGGAAGCAAAGTAAACAGTGATCTAACCTCGCTTTTTCACACTTAACAACCTATCTTGGAGACGGTTCCGTATCAGCACGCAGAAAGCTTTCTTGCTCTTTTTACAGCTGTTTTTTGATGACCGTATGGACGTCAATGGTGATTACTACCAGGAAGTCAATATAACGAAAACCTTCCACGGGGCTCTGCTGTAATGGCAAGAGCTTCCTGGCATGGAACACGATGGGGTGGGGGAGAAATAGATTATGGTTGAACACACATATTATCATGCTTACGTACAATTGGATCTCCATGTACACATGGATATCTATGAACTGGGAAGAACGTTTGTTAAGATATTAGCATCAGTGTCTTCATCCATTCACGCTGCTCCAAGGAAAACCCCATAGACTGGGTGGCTTACATACGACAGAAATTTATGCCTCAGAGTTCTTGAGGCTGAAAGTCCAAGATCAAGGTTCTGGAAGGTTCAGTGTCTGGTGAGGCCTCACTTCCTGGTTTATGGGTGTGGTCTTCTCTCTGTATCTTTACGTGGCAGGAGGGTAAGGGTCTCTGGGTCTCTTTCATAAGGGCACTAATCTTATTCAGGAGGTTCCCCCCATGACCCGGTCACCTCCCTGGTGCCCACCCCCTCATGCCGCCACGCTGGGGATTGGGGTTTCCGCACGAGAACTGGGTGGGGGGGCAAACCTTCAGTCTATAGCATTCTGCCTGCGCTCTTCAAAATCTCACATGCAAAATCCATTCATTCCACCCCAAAGTCCCCGGGGTTTAAACTCTTTCCGGGGATCCGCCCCAAAGTCTAAAATCCAAAGCCTCACTTAAATCTCACCTAAACCAGAAACGGGAGATTCCTCATGGGGCAAACTGCTCTCTGGCTGTGGACCCGGCAAACCAGAGGCCAGCGTGTGCTTCCGAAACACAGTGGTGGGACAGGCCCAGGATGGGATTTCTCCTCCAAAGGGGGAGAAATGGCAAAAAGACAGGGTGATGGGTCCCAAGTGACTCCAAGGTGGGGGCGGGGAAAGAATCGTCCTCTTTGGCTCATAGCCCGCCCCCCAGACCCACAGGGACGGGGTCCCCATGCTCCAGGCTCACGGAGTCCTCCGCTACAGGCTGAGGGTGGACCGCAGAGACCATGAATGGCTGCGACCTGCAGCACCTCAGGGCGGCACCTGGGGACGCCGTAGACAGGGCCGCGCATAAAAGGACACGAGTCTGCACATAAAGGGGCGAGAGCGGCTTGGTCAGAGGGACCCTGGAATCCACTCTAATCAGTTCCACAGACGCGTCTGCAGACGTCACGACCGTAGCTGATCTTCCTAGTGAACGAGCCGTGGCTCACCCGGCCACCAGCCGCCGTCGGCTCAAGCTGACATGCCCACACCAACCCTCTCGCTTTCCAGACGACAGTGCTTAGTCGCTGCCTTGTTCCTGAAGGAGAGTGCAAGGCTTGGTGAATTTCGTCATCTTCAGATTATTCTATAAAGAGCTTTCCAAACATGCAGGGGCTGGGGGAGAAAATAGGAAAATGGGTTCCGAGCAACGAGGCAGGTGGAGTTCAGGGCCTATTCCCACCCCTTGTTTTGCCTTTTATTTTTCAGTGAGGACCGTGAGGACTTGAGACGGGAAAGGTCTGGCCTCAGATCAAACCGGAAGGCCAGGATGGAGACCCAGGCACCATTTTTCATCGCCCTGCGGGGTCTCCGGCTCCGTGGCCCACACACCCCAAGAAACGACGATGAGGCCGTCTGTGCCACGAGCCTTCTGTACCTTCGCCTTCCCTTGCCCTGGTGAGACTCATACGGGAACACCATTTGCGGGTGGCGTCCCCCCATGAAAGGTTCAGGACACTGCCGTGTTCATCACCGAGCTCCTAAGAGCAGTGCCTACAGCGTGGAAATCCTTTTTTTCCTTGACAAATGATATATTTCATTTATTTCCCATGATCTTCTTGCATTATTTCAACATTATTAATACTCGGCAAATATATTAAAAAAGTAATAAACTGGCAATTATGATTGTGCTATGGACCCCAAACTGCAATTATTCATTATGTTTCAATTATTAACTTCACTTCAAATGTCTTTCAGCAAAGATTGCAAAAGGAAAAAAAAAATCCCAATGAAGCTCTGTACCCTGGTTGCTGGAAACCCATGCTTCGCTCTGACTCGACACTTGTGTGATTTATCTGCTGTCTCAGGCCTGGAGGAATCAAAATAATAATAAAAAAAAAAATCTTTCTTTCTATTTAATAAACAATAACCACCAACACCTTGTGTCTATGGGTAGCTTTTTAACCCTTCCTAGGGCCTTAGTATCTATTATAATATTTTATTTAAAAAACGTTAATGAAGAGACTGGGTCCAAAGTGGTCCTCAGTTTGCTGACTGGGGACACAGAAGCGGGGGAGGCTCAGGAATCACACAGCTCAGACTTCTAGAGGCTGAGCCGGCCCACTGCCCAGGACCCCTCCTCGCCCAGAACATCTTAGTGCCGGCCCCAGTCCCCAAGACTAAGCTCGCCCTCGGAGCAGTCTTCCACTGTCCATCCCGAACACCTCCCACGTGTGTAGGGTAAGTGATGGCCATACAGGATAGGAGAAATTCCATTTTTTAAAAATAAGCAAATCGCATTAAATTTTAATGGCGGTCATTACGGGCGGGTCTGTCTCCGGCGCTCAGCGAGTGCTTCAGTCCCCTCTGAAGAGTTCCATTTGCACAGATTAATTGTCTGCAATTTTGCCCGGCGTGTCCTCATCTCAGTTGTGGGGACTGTGAGGCCTTGTCCCCATCCCGGCAGCTCGATGATGTAGCACTTTGGCCTTTAAAATATGCACAATAAATATTTTAGATTTGCTGACGAATGACTTGTGCTTGCTACGAGGTTGCCAAGTGTGCAGGGGGGGACGGAGCAGGAAGTTGAGCGAGTCTCAGAGGGAGAGCCAGTTGGGCTTCACGAAGACATGCTGGGGGCCGGGTGTGAGGAGAGGCTTTGTGTCCAGGGTCACTGTCGCAGGGTTACACCTGCTTCCTGAAAAGCGTGGCGGTGTCCTGCTCACGGATGGGTAAGACTCACACAGTAGCGGCTTGGCACTTCGTTCAACAGCTCAGTTTCCCATGAAGCACCCAGTGGGTTCTTTAGAGCTATGGACCAGATCTTGCTGCTCGCCTGCTTAAAACATTCTGCTGTTTCCCAGCACACTTAGAGTAAGATCCTACCTCCTTACCATGCACCTAGAAGGCCTTCCGTGATCCACTCCTGTGGCTCCTCTGACTGCCTCACCCCCTCATTGTCCCCTGCTCACAATACTCCATCTACTTTGCTCATTTTCTGTGAATGCACAGAGCAAGTTTCTGCCCCAGGACCTTTGCACTTGCTGTTCCCTTTTCCCAGACCGCTGGACCTTGACATCTTCCCATGGGTGGCTTGTTTTGGTCATCTCAGTCTCAGCGCAAGCACCTAATCTAAAGTATCCCTTCATCTCAACCACTCTCCACCCCGTTACCTGATCTTATCAACTCTATTCACTCTTTGAACTTGTTTGCTTGGTTGGTTTACACGGGCTTTACTTATCGGTCGCCTGTCTCTTCTCTCTGCTGGAAGTTCCACAAAGGTAGGGACCTATGTATGTTGTTCATGACACACCCTTACATCTAGAGGGCAGCCTATCACACTGTCTGCTCAGAAGGCGTCTGTTGAACGAATGAGCAACCAGTCCCTGAGCACTGCTGGTGTCTGCTGGGTGCTGGGAACCAGGGAACGAGACACGTGTGGGTCCTTATAACATTCATCTAACGTTCCAGTAAGGTCTTCAGTCTTTGAACTTCTAGCAGCTTGGGTAAGCAGCTCTCAGGCAAACATACCCAGACCAGAGAGATCAGTGTCCAATTTTGGTCACGATCCCGGGCTCAGACTCTGAAATCCCAGGGGTTTTTAGAGATCCTGGCATCCAAATGTCCCCATTTACAAGCCCTGGAGAGAGGATGTGACCTAGACAAGCTGAAGGCAGCAGGCTGGAGGCAGGGAGGGAATCTGAATGTAGGGCAATGACTCTGGGAATTGTATTTGCTCAGTTGCCTTGTCCTCCCTCTCAGATCTGCGTTCTGAGAGGTTCTGACTGGACCCAGGAGCTCACACGTTGTTTCCTAAGGAAAGATTTACACTAGCACATTTCCATACACTCGATCTACCACGACAGGTGTGTTGGACACCAACGGTAAGTATTATCCCAGGGGACGTGTTGTTAAGGACACCTGAGCCAGGTAAGCACCCCCGCTGGCTTTTCCTTAAGTGATCTGTCTCTCCTTTCTTTCTTTCAATGTCTTGTCAGTGTTTGTCTTGTACTAGAACACAAAATAGCTAGGCCTGCCATGAACCACCTTGGCCCTTCACGTACACGAGGCGGGGCTGCTAATTCACAGCCGAGGCAGCTGCCACGAGAAATGCTCCCCACGGGGGCGCCTGGGTGGCTTAGTCAGTTAAGCGTCCGACTTTCGCTTAGGTCATGATCTCAGGGTTCGTGGGTTCGAGCCCCGCGTCGGGCTCTGTGCTGACTGCCAGCTCAGAGCCTGGAGCCTGTTTCAGAGTCTGTATCTCCCTCTCTCTCTGACCCTCCCCTGCTCACGCTGTCTCTCTCTCTCTCCTAGAAATAAAAAAAACATTAAAAAAAAATAAAAAAAAAAAAAAAAAAGAAATGCTCCCCACGTCTAGCTCGCAAATAGCTCACCGCCCTTTCCGTGACATGACCGATGGAAAACTTTTCCGAGTGTCCCACAGATGATTCAACTGCGTGTTACATCGATCATTTCACTGGGTTTTCCACACTGACTACTTCGCTGGAAATCGCACATCTAACTTTCAGCAGGGGTTTGAGGCTCAGCTGAGGTCCCTGGGATTGGACAAGGTTAAATAAATGTGCTTGAGAGGCCCTTCTGGCTCTATTACCTGGGGGGTGCTAGGCTCCTTCTGCGCCCACTGCTTCAGGAGAAATGGGATGGATTCCCCTCGTAACGGCTCTCAGGGCAGCTCCAAGCTTGGCCATAAAGCGCGGTACTTGATTTCCCGGCTGAAACACTTCCTCTCCCGGTGTCCTAAGGAGGGCCTTGGAATGGATAAGTTATGTGTTGTGGTTTTAGGCATTAATGAATATGAGAAACTAAATTATTGAATTTTGCAATGCAAATTATATTTTGAACACAAATTCTTCATTTCTGAATGCTAAGGACTCATAAAGAATGTCAATGGTTTATGAATTAGGCCATTAGCATGCAATTTGTGATTCAAACAGCACACCAGCACCATGTAATAAGTAACTATATAAAGGGTAGTGTTGTCTAAATTTTCAAAATATTTTGCTTGATGCATTAGAGAGCTTTCAAAAGGCTCCAATGACCTGCCCTTCCTTCCCTCCTTCTTCCCTTGTTTCCTTTTTCTTCCTTCCTGTCTCTCTTCCTTCCTTCCCTCCCTCCTTCCCGCCTTCCACTGACTGCATTAGCTCTTACTCCTGCTGCCTCAGTCTTTTCACAGATTACATTGTAGTAGCCACACGAGTCCTAAGAACTAGTTTAGATGAAACTCCCAATAGCTTTAGAGCTGGGAACTTGGAGACCCAGAGTGAAAGGGTCTTGTCCAAGGTCTTCGGAGGTAGAGCCAAGCAGAGCCAGGTCTCTGACATCCAACACCCACACCCTCAGTTGACTCCACCATGCTTACATGCCACAGACTCCTTGCAGACACTGTCCCGAGTATGGGTTTTCATGCAGGGGGAAGAGCCAGGGCACTGGAGAAGAAAGCATGATGTACACATCATCCGCTCTATGGATGGACAAACACCGCCATGTTTGTCCACTGGGACATCCTGATCTCACGGCAGCTGGGATCAGCAAGTGGAATTAGTACGGAGCAAAATCTCAGGCCAAGTTCAGGAACGAGGTGTCTCTGTTAGAACCATCGGTCCGGGAATGAAATACCTGGTGCAGCGGTGAGCATTCCATCACTTAGAGAAGTTCAAGTTGAGTGCAGATTCTAATTCAATAAAATCCAAAAGCCTAATGTTCCTCTAGCTTGGCGGTTGGTGGTCAACCTTGGCTGCACGCCAGAATCACCGGGGAAGCTTCTAAAGCTCTCCACGCCACACCCTTTTTTGATTAAATCAAAGTCTCTGGGGTGGGTTCCAACGATCAGAAAGGGCTCAGAATCTTTAGGGTAGCCCAGCAGCTCCGAAATTTCAGCATGTGTGAGAACCACCACAGAGGCTAATTATAAAGGCAGGCTCCTGTGCTCCGGATCCCAGATATTCTGATTCAGCTCACCGGGAAGCGTGCCTTGGTGACCCTTCAGCCGAACACGATATTCAGCCGTCTTTGGAACCAACATGCCAGGCACTGTCCACCCGTCCCTCTCCCCTGGCGACGGGGAGGAACTGGATTGAGAGATGGATCAACTTGCATGCTCTAGAGCTCTGACCAAGGCTCACAGTCCCACATGGCTTCTGAGGCTCTTGTTCAGAATCATTTGGGCAGACCAGCACTCAACCTTTAGCTCCAAGGCCAAGGCTCCACCCCGGCCTTCGGTAGGAAGTTAGCCATAGGGAGGAAAAACCCTTCGCCCTCTGCACCTAGCATTTCTTTCCTTCCCAGACTGATCGAGTCTTGCGTTGTTCCTCACGTCTCACTTGGGCCAGCTGCAATCTCTTTCAGGTAGCAGAGATGCCAGGGTGCTGCTGTCCCCCCACAATCTGTAGGCTCTCCTTTGCCCTTCAGGGATCCATGCGCAGGAAAGCCTCAAAGTCAGCGAGCTCTAGTTCGGTTCAAGTTAGAAAATACCTCCCAGCTTGCCCGCAGCAGTCATTTTCTCCGAAGATGGTGAACAAAAGCACACGATTCAAATGACCAGAGGCAAACCAAGCCACAGAACCTGCCCCCCACCCCTCCCCAGGAACGTCCAGCACGAGTGAGGGTGGAGGGTCCTCAGAGCGTCTCCCGCAGGCACGCACCTCACGTCCCCCTCTCTGGCTCCGTGAGTGACGGCCACGAGGCAAAACAGCTCACCTTGTGCGATAAAATATTTACAAGTTAACTCAGCATCCTCATGCTTTAGAAAGAAGAAGGTTCATGCATTTTAAAGTTATTTTGTAAATCACGTTGAAGCCTGATGGTGCATGTTTACCGCTTTGGCCGCGATTTTAATACCGGTTACCCCCTCATTACGTTAACAGTGGGA